TCATATGTCTTCTCTCAACTGGCATACTAAAATATTTGTAAACAGATATCAATTCTATGTATTCTATTATTACTTATCTATTTATTCTTATTATTTATCTAATCGTTAGGATATTTACACTGTCTCAAGAATCCATTTCTTAGATATCAAAGAATAACGCCATACATTTTTGTTAAACTTTCCTGAACCAATACCATATTCTCCACCACAAAGATATAAATTGTATCCTTAAAAAAATCACATACAACAATAAATTAAGTAGGTAAATAATACAATACTGTTTTAGATAAGATAAAACAAAGCACTACGTACTTTTGGCAGTGATCTGCATTCCTTCAAGTGATCTACCAGTAATGCAACAATGCTCGACAATATCTGCAGGATATTCGAATGAGGTCAGCTCAAAAAAATCATTACCATCCCAGCAATGAATATATTGTTTACCATTTTTATATTCACAAGATATAACACCCTGCAAAATTTTTTGTTTCTTTTTCTTCAAGATATATAAAGGAATTGTAAAATCCTACAAAAAAAGAAAAGGTTTTATTATTCATAAAATCAATGCATTACTGTATAATAGAATATAATAGCATGGTAAGAAAACAAAATAGATATATGGGAGATATATATCTTGGAGTTAGAATTTTATTTGAAATATATTGCAGGTAAAGGTTTGTAGTTCTGTGTCTGTTTCTAACACTATATTATTCTAAATATCTTTTTTGAAAATAAAATACTCACATGATGATGGTTCATCCACTCGCGTGTAATATCAAGCAAATGAGATTCTGTAGCTCTTAAATTGATGTTTCCAATTAACCTTATAAAATGCTTTTTCGACAACTCACAAATTGAATCGAGTGGCAGTTCATCGAAACGATCTAAGCAAACAGCCAAAGAAAGATCTCGTAGCACATTAATATTCATTTCTTGAGCCAATAACCAAATGTCAATTGCATATTTTGGTGACATAAAGTGTCTCTCAAGCCTGTCGGTTATATCTTCTATTAATTTATCTGCTGCAAATAGAACGCTTAACTCCAATAGGATCGAGAGACGATCGAACTCTTCGAAATCATAACTTGTTGCAGATGTAAATACGATATTGTCATGATGAATCCAATCAATAAAATCCTACAAAATTATTTATCTCTTTATTTCGGTTGCACAATGAAATTATTCATGCCGATAAAACCCGTGGAATCTTTATAATATACATTTGTTTATTGAAAACATGCATTTTGTTAAGAATTTTGATATAACAAATTTTGATATAACAAAACCATTACACAAAAAATAATAATAAGTTAACGGTTTGTAAGTTCGAAAAACAACTGTATTCTTGAACACAGACAAGAACTAGAAATAAGCTAACCTGCAACAAAATCAGGGAAATATCGTAGTTGATAACGTGATCCGTCTGGCCATATTCTAAATAGTTCGCGGACAAAAGCGCAGCAAAATACTGACTCTTGTCGATCAATTTTTGCTTGTCAACCTCGAATCGTTCCTTTTTGAGAACCAATGTAACTGTTTCGCGCGGTTTTCCGCCGTCATTGCCATTACTTCCCATTCTGAAAAAAAACGTGTCATCAATGTGATAAACATATACATTCAAATACGCTCGTTGAAATAAACGCAGAATTATTCGGCACTATAACTTACTTTTATTCGTGTCTCTCTTGTCTATGTATATCTATACGGGATAACATAAAAATTACTGATAACTATTGCAGACTATACTGCATGCCATATTTCCTTCCACCATGCTGCATGCTGACTACCAGACCACTGAACCACACTGAACTGACGCTACCGGCTACACGCTATTGGGCGTTTTTCTGCAAGGGACACGGATGCCACAGTGAATCATTTCATTTTTGTTTAACATTCACAAACAACAAGAA